AGACAGGTATTCACGTCCTTATTTCGCAGATGAAGTCTGGTGGAATCACACGGCCAAATTCACATCCAGGAGACAGCAGAAGGGAGACGTGACCTGGGCTCAGCATGCCTCTCTCCTGTCACACCTCCTTGGAGCGTCCTCCAGACTCAGGCAGTCCAGGGTGGTTGTTAGAATGCACCAGGAGGGGGACTAGCAGTTAGTGTAATGGCCATGTCACTGGACTCCCACGTAGTTGACCACGGTTCGAGTCCCAGACCCGGTAGCTTAAACTCATGCCAGGTGCATGTGCGTGCACACCCAAGATCCCGAGAGGAGACTGGAGGAGAAGGGATTGCGGAGTGGCCATCCACCCCAGGGGGTGATTTCTCGCTTCCTGTCTCTCTGTCTCTTTCTGTCTTTCTGGCGAGTGCATGTGCCCTATAGCAAAAAAACCTCCCCCAAAAAAGGAAAACAAAAAACAAAACAAAAAAAACCGAATGCACCAGGAGGGCTGGCCCATGGCATGGTGTCTAAGGAAGCTGAATCCCATATGGCTGATTGCGGTTCAAATTCTGGCCCCAGTGACTTGAAAAATCATGCCAGGCACCTGTGCATGCATGCCCAGAACCCCAACGGGATGGGGAGATGGAGTAGGGATTGCGGTCTGACCATGTCCCATTGGGAGTTGCTTTTTTCCTCTCCCTCTTTGTCTCTGCCTCTATGACGAGCACATTTTATGTTCTGGCTTTTTAAAAAAAAATAGTATGGGAACCAGCAGTTAGCGTAATGGCTATGTCGCTGGATTCCCACGTAGTCGACCGCGGTTCGCGTCCCAGACCTGGTGGCTTAAAACACACGCCGGGCGTGTGTGCGTGCGTGCCCAAGATCCCGAGAGGAGAATGGAGGAGAAGGGATTGCAGTGTGGCCTTCCCCTCTGGAGGGTGATTTCTCGCTTTCTGTCTCTATGTCTCTCTCTGTCTGGCGAGCGCACGCGCCCTGTAGCAAAAACCTCTCCAAAAAAATAAATAGTGTTAGAAGGGGTTTTGTCTGACCATTCGTCTATCTGAATACCTGGCAGCCTTCTCAGACCCCAAAACCTCTCTGTTCACATGGCTTCTTTGGGCCAAACATTTGTCAGAAATGTCACCAACAAAATCCAGGTGTCCAGGGAGGGTTTGGGCTCCATGGCCTCTGGGAGCTGCCCGCCCTATGCTTCTGCTATTCCCGAAGCAAACGTGAGAGCAGGTCCCCACCCAGGGGCATTCTGTACCTCGGCTGGGAGTTGCCGCCTAACTATGGGTGGTGTATTTTGTTTTAAAAGTACAGACTTCAAACAAAGGTGGAATTCTTTTTTCTATTTTTTTTTTTTTTTTTGCAATAGGGTGTATGCAGTCACCAGAGAGAAAGAAACAGAGAGGGAAAATGAGAAATCACCCACCACAGGGGCTAGCTAGGCCACAATCCCTTCTCCTCCATTCTCCTCTCAGGATTTAGGCGCACATGCACATGTGTCTGGTGTGATTTTTCAGGCTGCTCAGTCCAAGACTCGAACTACAGTCGGCCATGTAGGAATCCAGCGCTTTAACCACCACACCACCAGCTGGCTCCCAAATGGAACTATTTTTCACTTCAAAAGTATGAGGTGACTGAAAAACTGGCTGTCAACATGAAGATACCATTGTCGTAGATGCATATGGAAATATTGGATGCATTATTTCTATGAGATATCAGTGGGAAATTACTCTAAATTGATATACTGGATTTAGTTAGGGATTCTCAATATGTATACCTAACTAACCGAATGTTCTAGAGAGACTGTCCGCTAATTCCTTGCATTTGAGAAGTTAGACAGTTTTTGGACCATCTCACTGGAAGAGAGGCCTTCGGCTTGTATTTGGCCACCTTCTAAGAACAGGCGGTAACGTGTGCTCCTGTCCTTCAAGGCCTGTGACACAGTTTACTGGAGGAGGGACTTCCTGGAATATAGATAAAGCCTGAGAGGAATGAGGCAGCTGAGTGCAAATTTCACCCCTTATTAATTTTTTAAAGAGATAAAAGAGAGAGAGCTCCCAAGAGGATAAAGGCCCGAGGAGGGTCTTGATGCCGAGATCCATCTGTGTGTGCCTGGAGTGGTCAGGGAAGCCTTTGGACACGAACCAGGAACCCTCCTCTGAGAGTCAGCCTGGCAGAGATCACACTTTACTGAGGTGCCACCATCTGACCCTTAGCACTTACTAATTTTGCTGGGTCCTGACTGTAGGAGTCCTGGCTTAAAACTTCCTAATGGTGCTTTTGTGGCTAAGAGTTGCCTTGGCCAGAGGGTACATGCTCTTGCCAGAAAGAGACAAAGAGGCATAAGAAGAGAGAGGGAGAGGGAGAAAGCACCCCCGTGGGATGTGGTCATGCTGTAATCCGCCTCCATTTCCCCCTCTCGTTGGGATTTTTGGACACGTACACCTGCTGGGTTTTACGAGCCTTTAGGCCCTCGAGTCGAACTTCGGTCAGCCCTGTGGGAGTCAGCTCCCTTACCACTAGACAGCAGGGCCGCCTGACTTTTTCCTTTTTAAAGACTATTTCAGGAGAACTCAGCACAAGCTTGAAAGTCTTCATCCCGTCCCCTTCGTTTTGTGTAGTTTTAGCTTATTTGTTTGTTTATTTATTTAGGTTCTTGCCATAGAGCATATGTGCTTGCTGAAGACAGAGAGAGGGAAAGTGAGAAATCACCCCCTGGTGGGGAGATGGCCATGCTGCAAACCCTTCTCCTCCATTCCCCTCTCGGGATTCTGGGCACGCACGCACACACGCCCAGCGTGATTTCAAGTCGCTGGATCCAGGGCTCGAGCTGCAGTCGGCCATGTGGAAGTCCAGTGCCTCAGCCGCTATGCCACCTGCTGTTTTAGCTACTTTAAAAACAAAGCCCTAGGACCCTGTTGTGTGGAACACAAACGCTGTCTTAGATGTGGCCGGGCTCTACAGACATGGGGTATAGCTCAGTGATGGAGCATTCGACTGAATATTAGTGTGCTTTGATTTTCGGACTCTTGGAAGCCCTTTAGTTTTATGCAAACTTGTTTATAGACCTCTGCCAAAAGGGAGAGACAAACTAGGCAGCCATTTAAAAGACCAGAAATTATACTCCGGTTTTTACACTGCTGGTGGAATGAAGAGCTTGGTTTGTGTGGGGCCAGCAGTGGCATGGTGATTAAGGTGCTGGACACTCCCACATGGCTGACCACAGTTCAAGTCCTGGGCCTGGCGGCTTGCTTTCTCACTTTCCCTCTCTCTCTCTGATCAAATTAAAATACAATGAATGAATAAATAATTTTTTTTTTTTAAAAAAGAGCTTGGCTTGTGGTGGGAGGAGACAGAAAAGGCCGACCAATGAGTTATTTTACATCACTTACATCTGAAAGGACTAACGGCAGGCACGCCAACAGCCAGCAGCCTGAGCCCGAGTCCCCTACCTGGACGTGAGGTTTACAGGTAGGTTCACGACATTGAATGAGCAGGAGGTCCTTGTGTCTTCGAATGGCAGGGGACACCACATAAAGTCTCTCACTTTTTTTTTCTTTTGGGGAGAGGGTCTCATTTTTCTTTCATGTTAAAAATATTTTATTGGAGTATAATTAATTTGTAATGTGTGTATAGTAAAATCTTTTTTAGATTTTTTTTTTTTTTTTTGCCATAGTGCGAATGCACTCACAGGGAGACAGAGAGAGAGTGAGAGGGAATGTGAGGAATCACCCCCGGGGGGATGGCCATGCCACAGTCCCTCCTCCTCCTCCATTCTCTCGAATCTGGGTACGCACACATACATGCCTGGTGTGATTTTCAAGCCACCAGGTCCAGGACACAAACCACAGTTAGCTTCATGGGAGACCAGCACCTTAACCACCACACTTCCTGCTGGTCCCAAAATACTCAAATCTTAAATGTATAACATGATGGTTTTTATTTTCTTTTATCTATTTTTCTTTTTTACATTCTAAACACTTATATTTAATCACTGTATATCTTTACAGTGTACAGAATGGTTTTTCTTAGCATGAATACAGTGCAGATTAGCCAAGGAAGTGATATGACTATGGGGGGGGGGCAGAAGGTGGCCTGGTTGTTGGGGTGTTGGACCCCAACTACTGCAGTCCGAGTCCCATTTTAAAATAATTATAATAAATTAAAAATTAAATAATTCTTAAAAGTATGACCATAGACATTATTGACAGATGACTTTTCATTTTTGAGTCTGTTAAATGTTTTCTCTCTGATCTGCATCAGCATTTTTAAGAAAAAAACATCATTACGACAATGGTATTCTGCTCCATAGTTCCAGATAATAACACACAGAGCGTTAAGAAATATTGGGTTATCGGGGCATCGGGATGCGTTTTTCTATGCATGTGTGCATGTGTGCCTAAAATCTTGAAAGGAGAAGTGGAGGAAAAGGGATTGTGGCATGGCCATCTCCCACGGGGGGTGAGGGGGTGCTTTCACACTTTCTGTCTCTCTCTGGCAAGTGCACATGACTGCTAGCAAAAAAATTTAAAATAAATAACAAAAAAAATCCTTTACACTGAGTAATTTATAAACTATGGACAGTTATCACTCACAGTTCTGAAGGCAAGGAAGTCCGAGAACAGGTGCCGACAGATTGAGTGGTGAGAGCCTGCTCTCCTTCTGTGTGTCCCCGCACACATGGCTGAAGGGACAGGGAGTTCCTTTTCATTGGGCACTGATCCTGTCCATGACGAAGGAGTCTCACGACTAAATCATCTCCCAAAGGCCCCCCTCAGTACTACAATGGAAATGAGGTTTCCACAGGTGGATTTGGGAGGGGGTAAACATTCAGACTCTCGCATGGGCCCTATTAGGGCGACTCAGCAGTCTGGTACTTTCGCTGTTCTGAGGCAGCGCGGGTTCTGTCATCCCCTGCAGGTGTATGTCCAGCTCTGAAGGATCGGATGGCCCTGCTGCAGTGGGGTGGGGCTGAGACTGACTGGAACTTTCATGCTGTCTTCTTTCAGGGGAGCACCCTGGGCACCAGCTGGCCGGAGGCAGCCCCGACCATGTGCGGACTTTGAACGAGGCCAAGTGAGGGGTAGGGGCCGACACGCGGCCCCTTGCCGATCTGGCTTCGACATGCGGAGTCTGAAGGTCCCCAGGCTGTTCAGCATAGACCAGATGCCCCAGGTACGTGCTTGGTTCCTTCCAGGGCGGGAGCCCGGGCTGAGGCTGCTGCAAGAGGAGGGCCACGTCATTCTGTCCAAGTTCATCGTGGGAGATTAGAGGCTCCTGCTTCCCCACCAAACCTGGGCATGGAAGTGCTCTCCCAGCGGCTAACGTTGTGTCCCTTCCCTGCGACATCTGTGTTTTATCCACAAGTCAAGTCACTATTGAGGTGAGGCAGCAGCAACTGGCTGGGCAGGGCGAATTTGTCAGGACCCACCCATGGGTGCATGAGAGCAGGCCGGGGTGAGGTTTGTGGTTTGTGGGAGCACTGTGTTACCCTTCAGTTCATATGTTCGTGACGTTTGTATCGACTGCCTACTATGTGCAAGCTTCAGGAATAATTGTATGACAGTCCTGTCCTTCAGGGGCTCAGAAGTTGGGCAGGAGGATTTTTAAAGGTGCACAAGTGAGTCTGTTGTAAAGTGGTTAGGGTGTGTCCTGAGAGAGGGGCAGATCATTTCAGAGGAGGGACCGGTCCCTTCTGCATGGGGGAGGAAGACATTAGGGAGGGCTTCATGGAGGCGGGGGAGGCTTTTTTTTTTTTTTTTTTTTTGGAGGGTTTTTTGATTTTTTTGAGAGGATTTTGCTATAGGGCATGTGTGCTCTCCGGAAAGACAGACAGAGAGAGATAGAAAGCGAGAAATCACCCCCCTGGGGGGATGGTCACGCCGCAATCCCTTCTCCTCCATTCTCCTCTCGGGATCTTGGACACACACGCACATGCGCCCGGCGTGAGTTTAAGCCACCGGGTCCAGGACTCGAACCATGGTTGACTACAAGGGAGTCAGCGACATAGCCATTACGCTAATTGCTGGTCCCAAGGGGGGGATGGCCTTTAAGGTGAGTTTTGAGAGGTAGGAAGGATTTGGGAGGTGGAGAGAGCGTTCCAGGTGGAAGGACAGTGTGGGCGAAGGCCTGGAGGTGAAAGCAATGGGGAGATGTGGGGACCCAGGGCTGGGGTTATGGGTGTCTGCTTCTGTGTCTCCGTGGGGGTTTTCCTCAGGATGGGGTCAGAGAACCTCCCTGGGAAGGAAGTGAAGGAGGGAGAGTGCTTGCCATGTGACCACCGCCCGGGGGGTGTTTTTGCACTCTCTCTCTGGCAAGTATACATGCCCTATAGCAAAAATTGAAGAAATAAAAGGAAGTGGGATACATGTCTAGAAGTAGATTCCTAATTTAGAGACAGAACAGACAGGTCTGGACAGTCAGTTCTTGTGCGACATTGCATGACACTCCGCCAGGAAACAAGGGCATTTTGTATCTGTGGGGAGTCTCCTAGTAGCTGCAGCATTGCCCCCCCCAACCCCCCGCCCAGCCACAGGGAGGACATCTGGTTGTCCCAGATGCCTTAGTTAGGAGCACAGGCAGGAGGCCCCCGAGGTGGTGGCACTACCACGGAGGAACAGCAACACAATTCCAGGCTCACAGGGCAGCTCTGCCACCACCTCACTGAGCCCCAGTTCCCCTGTCTGCACCACAGGGGTGACCTCCACCAAGTTAGTGTCACACGGCTATTGTGAAGAGCCAAGGAGAGTGAACTGGAACGGCGGGGTTGCTATGAAAAGGAGAACGCGCAGTCAGGTGGTAACGGGCCGGCTCGGGCGTCGGTAGCCAGGAGCCGTCTCGAAAGCTGACTGGTGGGACCAGCCCAGAATTTTCTGAAGGAGTGCTTGGATCCCCAACAGGAGAATCACCTGGGAGCGCACGGAAGTTTGATAGGAGCTGTGTTGCAGGCCTCTTTGAATTGCTTCTGACTTTAATCCAGAGGGATGCCTCCGACATTTCACATTAGTGCGCGTCGTGTCTGCTCTGTGTGTAAATATCACCTTAAGGCTATTTATTTATATTCCTAGTTTGCTTACGCTTTTTCCTTTGCTAAGAATTATTTTATTTATGTCTTTACTCATTTTAATTTGACCAGAGAGGGACACAGAGAGAGAGAGAAAGTGAGAAAGGAAGCTGCCAGGTTCCAGACTTGAACTGCGGTCGGCCATGTGGGAGTCCAGCGCCCTTAGCCACCACGCCACCTGCCGCCGCCCCCCCCCCCTTTTATAGAGTGATTCTTTCTATAGGATAGGGCATGTGCACTTACTGGAGAGACAGAGTCAGAAAGCAGGAAATCACCCCCCAGGGCTGATGGCCACACCACAATCCCTTCTCCTCCATTCTCCTCTCAGGGTTTTGGGCACACATGTGCATGTGCCCAGCATGAGTTTCAAGCCTCTGGGTCTGGGACTCCAACTGCAGTCAGCCATGTGAGAGTCCAGCAACATAACCATTACACTATCTGGTGGTCCCAGGTTTGTTCCTCTTATTATCAATTTTAGAGGACCTATTTTTCCTATCAATATATGTTTGCAATGATCATGTATGATTCTTTTAAGTTGTTAACATGACAAATTACATCGACTGATCTGCTGATGTTAAAGCAGCCTTTGGCTCCTGGTTTAACAGCAGCTTGGTACTATCTTTCCAGTCGTTGCCAGGATCAGTTAGCCAATCTTTCGTTTAGGATCTGTAAGTGTATTGAATGAGTAGGCCTTGTGATTTTTCCTTTTTAGAGCTGCCTTAAATCTGTCCTTGCCTGGACTTGGGATTCAGGCTCTGCCAACCACAAGTGAGTCCGGATCGGTACCTATTTACCCATGGGGAACACTGTCTACGTCGGAACGACACGTTCCTGTGTGGTTGATAAACTGTAGCTGTACGATTGTCTGGGTAGGGCCACCATATTGCCCTCCACGGGAGTCCCTTTACTTGTTAGTCCACATGAGTAGCGATCTTTGCAGCTGTGCAGGGAACAAACTTGGGCAGGACCCAAGTTGATTTTTTTCGGTCAATTTTTTTTTTTTTTTTTTTTTTTTAGATTTTTGCCATAGGGTAAGTGTGCGCACCAGAGAGAGACAGAGTGACACAAAGCTTGGATCCCCAACAGGAGAATCACCTGGGAGCGCACGGAAGTTTGATAGGAGCTGTGTTGCAGGCCTCTTTGAATTGCTTCTGACTTTAATCCAGAGGGATGCCTCCGACATTTCACATTAGTGCGCGTCGTGTCTGCTCTGTGTGTAAATATCACCTTAAGGCTATTTATTTATATTCCTAGTTTGCTTACGCTTTTTCCTTTGCTAAGAATTATTTTATTTATGTCTTTACTCATTTTAATTTGACCAGAGAGGGACACAGAGAGAGAGAGAAAGTGAGAAAGGAAGCTGCCAGGTTCCAGACTTGAACTGCGGTCGGCCATGTGGGAGTCCAGCGCCCTTAGCCACCACGCCACCTGCCGCCGCCCCCCCCCTTATAGAGTGATTCTTTCTATAGGATAGGGCATGTGCACTTACTGGAGAGACAGAGTCAGAAAGCAGGAAATCACCCCCCAGGGCTGATGGCCACACCACAATCCCTTCTCCTCCATTCTCCTCTCAGGGTTTTGGGCACACATGTGCATGTGCCCAGCATGAGTTTCAAGCCTCTGGGTCTGGGACTCCAACTGCAGTCAGCCATGTGAGAGTCCAGCAACATAACCATTACACTATCTGGTGGTCCCAGGTTTGTTCCTCTTATTATCAATTTTAGAGGACCTATTTTTCCTATCAATATATGTTTGCAATGATCATGTATGATTCTTTTAAGTTGTTAACATGACAAATTACATCGACTGATCTGCTGATGTTAAAGCAGCCTTTGGCTCCTGGTTTAACAGCAGCTTGGTACTATCTTTCCAGTCGTTGCCAGGATCAGTTAGCCAATCTTTCGTTTAGGATCTGTAAGTGTATTGAATGAGTAGGCCTTGTGATTTTTCCTTTTTAGAGCTGCCTTAAATCTGTCCTTGCCTGGACTTGGGATTCAGGCTCTGCCAACCACAAGTGAGTCCGGATCGGTACCTATTTACCCATGGGGAACACTGTCTACGTCGGAACGACACGTTCCTGTGTGGTTGATAAACTGTAGCTGTACGATTGTCTGGGTAGGGCCACCATATTGCCCTCCACGGGAGTCCCTTTACTTGTTAGTCCACATGAGTAGCGATCTTTGCAGCTGTGCAGGGAACAAACTTGGGCAGGACCCAAGTTGATTTTTTTCGGTCAATTTTTTTTTTTTTTTTTTTTTTTTAGATTTTTGCCATAGGGTAAGTGTGCGCACCAGAGAGAGACAGAGTGACACAAAGAGAGAGAAAGTGAGAAATCACTCCTCCCCAGAGGGAATGGCCACACCACAAGCCCTTCTCCATTCTCCTCTCGGGGTCTTGGGCATGCACATACATGCCCCTGGCATGTTTTTTCAAGCTGCTGGGTCTGAGACTCGAACCACAGAGTCAGCCATGTGGAATCCAGCACCGTAACCGCCATGCTACCCGCTGACCCCCAAATGCCTTTTTTAATAACAACTTCGTTGACATATGATGCACATATCATACAATTCATCCTTTCCAAGTGTCCCACCCAGTGGATTCGAGCATGCTGACGCACACAAAGTATGTGGCATAACCTATGCTTCAGCCCTGAAAGAAATGCTGTCCCTTTGGCAGCTCCTCCTCACACTCCTTCTCCCGCTGCTGGCAACCATGAACCTACTGCCTCTGAGGCTTGCTTATTCTGGGCATTTCATGTCAACGGAATCATGCACGATGCAGCCTGCTCTGCCTTCTTTCACTTAGGATCATGTTCTCAAGGTTCCACCATGCCATGGCATGAATCAATGCTTCGTTTGTTTTCATGCTTGAATACTATTCTATTGTACGAATGTGCCGCAGTTTGTTTTTCCATTCATTAGCTGTTTCTACTTTGGGGTTAAAGTCATCCTTTTATGAACATTTGCCTACCAGGTTTTGTGTGAACTTGTTTTCGCGTCTCTTGAGTACATACCTAAGAGCAGAATTGCTGGATCATATGGTAACTCCATGCTTAGCTTTTCAAGCAATTGCAAAACTGTTTTTCCAACTGTACTGTTTTCAATCTCACCAG